CTGGACCACACTTTTGAATTTAGAAGCCTGTGATTTTAACCTGTGCTCTGCCAAAACCAAGGTCCTGAGTGTGAGTAAAATATGGGAGAACAAGTACAGGTGTGCATAGTCATGCCTGCACACACGCACAAGCACACATGCACAGTACAGACACCCACAGGCACACACACGGGCACATCGTTTAACCCTTCATATATCATCATGCCACGTGGCCCTTGTTCTTCTCAAGAAAGTAGTTCATTTAAGCAAATATTCTAGAGCTTTGGTAAAGTGTGGTTCCAGATATTATTTCCCCATGTCATCTATGTTAATTTTATAGGACAAATATGGCAAATCCTGACCTTAGTTCTAAAAAACTGTTTTTTACTCTTAATTTTTGTTTTCTCTTGCTTAAGAGTGAAACAGTATAATATAACGTATTTCTCTTATTTGCTGGAGATGAAAAATGTTTAAATGTCCACCTGTGGGGTCTAAAAATGATATTTATTCCTTTATATTTTTGGTTCTTTAAGTGTGCTGTTTGAATTGGGTTTGTTTAAAAAACAAAGATGCAGACATCTATCTATCTGTCTATTTGTCTATTTATCTATCTGTCTGTCTCTATCAATCCATCAGTCTATCTATCCATATAGAAAACACTCCGTTGGGCATTGGTTGCTTCAATGGATTCAAGAGCTGCGGACCAGTGTGGGTTGAGGACAGAGGGGGGATGTTTCTATGCAGCAGCCAGGTAGGTTGGTGTAATCTCTGTTGATTAATGGAGAGTTAGGTGTCACAGCTAAATCAACCCACATCCTACTTTCGATCCTAGCTTCAACTTTAGGTCACTTCAGGTTTCTTTTTTTCCCCAGAAATAGTCATAGTACCAATCTTAAGTAAGTGCACAAATAGCCGTTTTCGGGGAAAACCGTATTTAGAAACAGCTCATTTTGCAACTAAACCGTATTTAGAAATAGTTCATTCACCTAGAAAGGCTCTTCAGACTGTAGTGGAAAGTCAAGTAGATGGTGACAAATGAAAGGTCATTAGAATTTGAAAGTTGAGTGATGAGCTTTTCAGAATCACTGAGCACAAAAGAAGCAAAGAATGTGGTTTTCTCTCTTCATTTTAAAACACAAAATCATGCTTCTTTAACTGTTTAACTTAAATTTTGCCATTTGGATATTTATTGTCTATATATAGTATATCTTGATCTCACACAAAATAAGATTTCTTACAGTTTCCAACTAGTAAAAATTGTTGAAATTGTACAACATAGTTAATCTAAAGTCTTCTAAATGCACTTATAGATGGGAAGGTACTTGGGCTGGCCTGGTGGTGCAGCAGTTAAGTTGGCACGTTCTACTTTGGCAGCCTGGGGTTCACCGGTTCGGATCCCAGGTGTGGACATGGCACCACTTGGCATGCCATGCTGTGGCAGGTGACCCACATATGAAGTAGAGGAAGATGGGCATGGATGTTAGCTCAGGGCCAGTCTTCCTCAGCAAAAAGAGGAGGATTGGCAGCAGTTAGCTCAGGGCTAATCTTCCTCAAATAAATAAATAAATAAATAAATAAATGAGAAGGTACTAAAAAACTGTTGTTGTTTTTTTTTCTGGAATTTTGTTCTAAGAGTATTTTCCAGAAAACCAGAATAGATTTCCTAATGTTATACGTGTAACTGCAAACACAGTCATCATAAAATCAAATCCTAAATCATAAATGAAAACGTAGTTTATTATACATTTGAAGTTGAAAGTGTGCATGAATTTTAATGAACTGATTCGTGTGATAGATAAAACCAAAGCAAAAGCTTGAAATAACAAGGGAGAAATGGGGTCATCGACCTGATCCATCAGATCACAGAGACGACTCCTCGTCTCAGCTGTTGGGAGTGAGTTTACCCATCCGTGGCTCTGTTTTCCAACCTGCAATCAAACTAAGATATTTTTACCAGTAGGATTTTAAAAGATTGTTTTAAATTTAAATTATAAAATAATAAAACCAGAAGTAATACAGTTATTGGAATAGAGAAGCAAAGTGTGTGTATCAGGATATTCCCACTCTAAGCATAATTTTGTGCCTATTCTTCCTGAGATGATAGATATAGATATACAGATCATTGTGATCTGGGGTGCATACAATTTTGTTTCAAGCTTTATTCTTTCTTATATTACTCCATATTTTTTATGCTGGCCTTTTATGTAGCAACATTGTCTTCTTTCAGATATATCTGAAACAATTTTGTCAACCATGGTTCTATTATTGGAGACTTTCATGGCTTCCAAAAAACAACTCTGGCCATATTTTTTGTATTTTGAATGACAAATATGTATTATATTCCCAGAAATGAGATCCAGTAGTCAAAGAGTGGTCTGATATTAAGTGGTGATTTTTTCTTTTTTTTAAGGATTGGCCCTGAGCTAACATCTGTTGCCAAGATTTTTTTTCTTCTTCTTCTCCCCAGAGCCCCTCAGTGCATAGTTGTAATCCTAGTTGTAAATCCTTCTAGTTCTGCCATTCGGGACACTGCTCCAGCATGGCTTGATGAGCGGTGCTAGGTCCACACTGAGGATCTGAACCGGTGAAACCCTGGGCCGCTGAAGCAGAGCACTTGAACTTAACCACTTTGTCATGGGGCCGGCCCGAGTGGTAATATTCTTGACCTCAAAACAGAATACAATTCACTAAGAATACCTACAGGAACTGGATTGGATGTGTGGGAAAGCGTGTATGAAGAAGCTTGGGGTTTTGTTGGAGTGCAGTGCACCCCATCATAGCTAATGAATGATAGGATGCTGTCATGAAGGAGAGTGGTTGTGAAATGGAAGCAGTAATCCACTTTTCCTTCTTTATATTTGACCATACTGGAATATTATATAAAATATTAGCATCTCGGCTTGTTGACATACTCTCAAACTACCAGTCTCCTTAACCTTTTATTTATCATATTATTTGGCTTATTTTCTTCAGAGTTCTTGGGATACTTTCATTTTTCTTCTTGTTGGATTTATTTATTTTTTCCCTCCCTGAGCTAGACTGTTATCTCCACGAGACTGAGACTTCGTCCATCTCATTAGCCGCTGCATCTTTGGTACCTAGAATAGAGTCTGGCACATAGTAGATGTTCAATAAAAATGTTTTGAAAGAATGATGAAAAATAAGAAAACTGAAATTTAGGTAAATAGAAAAGAACTGAAGATAGAGACCTGGAATAGAGACCACAGAGATAGTGCAATAGTTGTTTTTAAAACAAAATTCTTAAATGTAGTTCATTTATTCAGTGTGGCTCCAGAGGTTTAAACAAGGGCTGGTGAACAGAAATCATGGAACGGTGTATCTAGAAAGTATGGCTGTCTTAAATGACTGTTAGAGCAGTGAAAATTAGAATTATGTCTATGTTTTGCTTTTTACATTTTTCTCTTTCAAAAATAATGTGTATTATGTGCCCATAATGAAGTGTTGCTCAAAATTAGTTCCGTAGAATTCTAGTTGTCCTGGACACTTGGTGAACCAGGGCTTCCTGGATAGGTAAATTTTTACATATAAAATTTTAAAAGCTGAGAGGCCTTTTAGAAAAGAAAGGTATTTAATTTTGTTTAATCTAGAATTTTTCAAATTGGCTTGACCCGATTTGATGATTTTCGCAGCCATCTACAGCCAGCCCCAGAGAGTGTTATATAGAAGTGTGGGAGATGCTGGTGTCATGATACTTCAGTAATATTCACTCTGACATTGCAGATGAGAATTTTTTAATAAGCAGGAAAAGAAACATTTGTTTTTTTCCCCATATCTTTTATCTATTACTAACCTTATCCATACACATGGGCAACTGTGAATCTTTTCTCCCGAAGACTCTCTTTCACTCCTATATTCTTCAGTATCAACCTCAGGGCTTGCCAAATGGAAAACACAAGTAGAATTTCCTCTTGTAACAATGGGCTTGTCAGATAGTGAAATAATACTGCGCTCAACTCAGTGCCAGACGTCAGGCTAGAAGAAGTAATTGAGTGTCTTCAAACCTAATGTATGCCTCTCGCATTTTCTTATGCACTTGTTAAATTGTTATTCTGCAACAATGTTCTGTTACTTCCTACCACCTTAGAGCTTCATGTTTTCAGAGGAAGCTCTGAAGCCAAAGCCATTTTTCATCTAACTCTAGGCTGGATGGATTGCTGTTTTCTAAAGCAAATGATTCTTTTCTTGTAGGCTGTGTTTCTGAAATATAATATCACTGACCTTCTTCTGAATAGAATTAATGTTTGTGAGAGTAGTATAGATTCTTGACTGAGATATTCTTTTCCTCTTCATTGGGAGCAATTTTTTAAAATTTTGTTGTGATAAGAATACTTACATGAGAACTATCTTCTTAACACATTTTAAGTGGACTACATTGTTGACTACAGGTTACAATGTTGTACATCAGATCCTTAAAGCTGATTCATCTTATTACTGAAACTTTATGCCTGTTGATTAATAATGCTCCATTTCCCCTCCCCCCAGCCCCTGGTACCACCGTTCCAGTCCTTGACGTTACGAATTTGACTCTTTCAGATTCCACGTGTCCGTGGAATCACACAGCACTTGCCTTCCTTGCACTGAGACATTGTCTTAACCTGGATTTTTCAGTCCTTGTTTTTATGCAATATTTACTCACACAGAATGACATCCAACTTGGTCTTGTTTTCAGGGTACATAGTTCTTCTGCGTAAGTGTGCTCACTTAAGCCACAACACACGGTCAGGTCACCATTGTTGTTATCTCTGCTTTAAAGAGGATAAGTGAAGGTTCATGTATTTATTTAGCTATGAAGTAGGCAGAAATGAAATTTGAGCCCGGGTCTTGTGACTCTATAACCTGCGCTACACTGCAGGGTTGTAGCTATGAATTGTCGCTAATGAATTGCTTAATGTTTGACGTTGTTTTGACAGCTCAACACAGTAGCAGCACTGTGATGATTTGTTTTTTTAAGAAGTCTTCCATGAATAATTCGGGTTGTTTTCTGTTTTGTAATCGCTTAGGGTTGGTGCAAATGTACAGTTCTCCTGTGAGGACAATTACGTGCTCCAGGGATCCAAGAGCATCACCTGTCAGAGAGTCACGGAGACCCTGGCCGCGTGGAGCGACCATCGGCCCATTTGCAGAGGTAAGGTGGGCACAATGGAGTCATCGCCCGGTTTCTCTCCTTCATCAGAGTTGGCATCTTTTTATGAACACACAGTGAGATTTAAGTGCAAACCATTGTGCAGAGACAGGGCAGAACTCAGTAATAATGTATGTTTTCATAGTGATATGGGTAAAGAGAAATATTTCCTTGAAATTTGTTGGGAGGCAAACATTTACAAGGATATTTGTGGTTTTTAAATTTCAAGAAACGTATGACTGCATCTAATCATTCAAACTCACACACACATACTCAGTATAACTTGGTGTCCATCTCCCCCTCTCTCTATACATATGCACACAGAATTGCATATGTCTGAAAATATGTTACATAACCAGACCCTTTGGAAAACTTTGTGCACACCCCTACAAATCTAAAAATCCTCACCTTTCAATGCTTATGAGGTTGAATTCTTGAGTTTTGATGGTTTCAGTGTGAAAAGGAGTTTGTTAACATGATCCCACGTCATTATCAACAAATTATTTTAAACTAATCTCTTACATAGTTAGCAGAACAAAATATCACATTATCATCATCTTCTTCAAAGAGGTCAAAGCATTGATTTGTCACTTCTATAAAGTATGTGAACCATCCTACCAGAACTGTGGAAACCATAGCAAGCCCAGCAGAAAATTGTTATGGCTGTATTAGTATGGAAAAATTAATAAAATTAAAAGAAACTAGATTTTTCTCTCCCTTTTTTTTTTCTTTGCATTTTGGCCATAAAATCATTTATGCAAATTGCTACTTTTGAAGAAAGGAAAAAAAAGCACTAAGTTGACCAAGGAATAAAAAGGAAAGCTTCATATATAAAAATATCTTATCCCTCCTTATAGTCTTTTTAAGGTGAGTGAACTCATAAAATTTTATTTTAAACAGAGTTAGTTAGATCCTGAGAAATGAAGTAGTTACCAGATGTGTTGCTAGCTTTGTCTAAGATAAAAACACTATATTGCAGGATTTACTATATTGTACCCCTTAACTGTAACCACTCGTACATTTCACATTTAGGAAACAGTGTTGTAAAGTCTGTCTGCATCCTGAGGGCAGAGCCAGTGTGTGATCTTGCTGCAGGGGCTGTTTCCTGTGAACCCAAAACCCTTTGCAGAGAAGCCCAATCTCTGATCAAGGAAACGAGAATGAATGTGTCCGTCTGCTTTTTATCACTAGTCTGCTTTGTACATCATCTAAAACTAAAAAGTGACATTATTAGGATTTCAAAGGAACCCTAGAAAAGTTGACTTTCCTGCCAAGCGGTGGTGATATATAATGGCCCCAGTCATAGTCATAGATGGGGACTAAGACACAAGTATTATTTTCCCCTAAGCAAAAAAAAAAAATATGCTTTTATTCTTTAATGTTTTTCTTGTTCTTCTATATCAGAAATATGTGTCATTATTTTCATAGTCCAAACTAGACAAAACTAGTAAATATGCATCCATTTTAAATTGATATTTTAGAGTAACATAAAGGAAAAAAGTGTGTAGGATATTATTTCATCCTTATTTATCAATCTGTAACTTTTCCTTTTTTGCCTTGGATCCCATTTTACACTCAAAACTCGTGCTAAGTATCCAGGCTCCAATTTATAACCCGAATTGGTATCACACACTCAGAGGTGCTTGTCTCCTCACCATTCAGGTAAAGGTGGAGCAGTGTCCTCCGTCCCCCTTGCCACCAACCACTCGCCCTCAGAGATATTTAGGAGTGTTCCAACTTCCTGTCCTTACAGATTCCCACGTCCTACTTGGTCTCATTTTAGAAGGGAAAGGCTCTCCCACAGGACCTTTTTTTGTTGTTTGGTTTGCTTGGTTTGGTTTTCCGTGAAAGTCTCACCACCACGGTCCCACGTGCACCTCTCTCTCTCATATCCAAGCGAAGAGCGCTCAACTTTATTCAGCTCCTCTTTTCTCCTCTCGGCTGATGATCCAGATGTTCTGCTTAAATTAGATATACCTTCATTTCCATAGAGGAATCCTTTAGTTCTTGTTCAACTTATTACTTTCAACTTTCTGAAATAATGACATATAGTAGATGGAAATAATTCTAAAGAAAGCATTTTCATAGAAGATGTATGTATCAAATCTACATCCTTAACTAGAACAGACTGTGTCTGGGGAACTATAACAGACAATATTTTTTAAAACTTAGAGTTTAAAGAAATATATATTTTCATATATTTGGAGTAGTGAAGCATTAAACAAAAGACAAATTTAAATAGAAAGTCCTGAAATTTCCTGAATAGGAGGATTTGAGATATACTGTTTAGAATTAGATGATAAAAATTAGATGACAGAAATCCAAACCCAAAAGAAGCTTATACCAAACGGAAATGGATTTCTCTCTCATGAAAATGTTCAGAATTAGGTAGCACAGGATGAGGATGGCAGCTCTGTTTCAGGGATGAAAATTTTCTCAAGACTCACCGTGTCCTACCTGTGGTCAGACCCCCACCCTCATGGTCCAATTTGGGTATACAAATCTCAAGCGATAGGATGGAGGAGGGCTAGAAGAAACAGGGAGAGGAGTTGCACCTGTGTCCTAAGGAGCGTTCCCAGAAACCATCACATGCATTTCTGCTCAATCCCATTGGCCCAAATCCAGTCAAATGTTCTAACCTTGCTGTGAGACTTAGAAATCAGTTTTTAGTCTGGGTGGTCAAATATACAGCAAATAATTATATTTCTGTGGAAGAAAAGGAGAATAGATATTAAGGGAAAATGGCAGTCTCTGCCAAGGGGTGTACTATGTAAGAAGGAGAGATGGAATAAATGTCACAATTTTTTTGCTTCCCTGTGTCATCTGCAGCTTTCTATGAGTGAGAAGGGCAAATGAGTTAGGAAATCACTCAACCCTCTCTTACGTCCTTGGCATTTGTGTATCAGTGTAGGACTTTAGTTGTAAGCAATATGGACGAATAAAAAGGTGGAAGTGTGTGTACATGAATACTCCAATTTCTGGGCTGGAAAAGATTCATCTGTAATTATCATGGTTAAGTAAGAAACCTGTCCTCCACTTCCACAGTCAACTCCCTTTTCCTATCCTGTGCTGTCCCTCTAGGCACATGGCCCTCTTACCAGGAGGCATCTTCCTTCTTCAAAGCCAGCAGGAACATCCCTCCCTCTAGTCTGGAAGACAGAGTCCTATAGACCATCAAGAAATCACCATGTAACATGACCGAACCAATTGCTTGTAGAGATGAATGGCCAAATGCATTAACTCATCTGTAGGCTGATCCAGCATATTTAGTTTTATAGTATCTGGTAGTTAGATTTAAAAAGTAGAAGAAACTGGTGAAATTAATTTTAATAACATTTTATTTAACCCAATATATTGAAAATATTACATTTTAACATAGAGCCAATATGAAGATGTTAAGAAGATGTTTTACATTCTTTCTCTCTCTCTCTCCTGTGTCTTGGAAACCCAGTGTGCATTGTATACTTATAGTATATCTCAGCTCAGAGAAGCCACATTTCAAGTGCTCAGGAGGTATATGTGGCCAGTGCCTACCATAGTGGACAGCACAGCTCTAGATGTTTAGCTCAGCCCACAGTCCTAGTTTTCTTCCCATCTGTGGAAAGCAATCAACACCCTTGTAGGTGTGAAGGGAAGAAAGGAAATCAGTGAGTCATAACCTGTCTCCTGGCTGGTGTCCCTCACTGTGGAACATACTTTGTTCAGTTAAAATCTGAAAGTTTCTCAGTTTGGCAACATTTAGAAACCCTGAAGCTGTCATCATTCTTTCTTTAAATAGTGTTTCCATTTGCTTTTAATGATTGATTCATCAATTAGAGAAGAGCTGGAAAAAAACATTTTTTAAAAGTGGAGCTTTTATAACTATTTCTATAAAAAGATAGCTTTAGATATCTAAAATGTAAGGGAAATGGATAACATGAAACTTCGCAGTATTTCAATGCTACCCAAAACAGAGTATGGGAATATTTAGTTAGCTGTCAATAACTAGGAATGCTTACTAAGTTACCAATAGGTTCTATACACCAAGTGCAATTTTCTGAGTTCATTTTCTACTTCATGCTATCACCATAATAAATTGCACGTAAGAAGAGAATGTCATGGCTTGGGTTTTTCCTGATTGACTCTGAGCCTTTAAAGGAGCCCTTATATTGATCATCTCAGCTGAATTCTTAATTCCATCATTTATCAAATACAAAATATGCCTTTGGTGTGAGCATTGCACACATTATGAGATGTCGGATCAGTAAATTAAGAAAGGACTGGTCTTCAAGGCTCCATCCTCATGAAGTGGTCTCTAAGTCTTGCATAATTATCGTGCCTTCTCTACAGAGGGCATATCCGATGGGAGCATTTGATTGCAGAAAGTCAGTAGTGATCTTTTACTTCTGGACACTGGTGTCATTAGCTAATACTTGCACTAGCTAGTTAGCTGTGAGGACGAGGGAACATTACCTTTTTCTTCCTGTTACCAAACAGCTGAATGGTTGTCATAGCTCAGTAATTATACAAGTGATTTTGTTTGAAATTATGCTTACTTCATTTAGGGATATGAAAACAACTATTATGATTTTTTACAGGGTGAAATATTATGAGCTGTTTAAAACTGTGTAAGCATCTTTAACTGGCAGGGGATTTTTAAAATAAGCCAACAAAAAAGAAAAGAAGAAGATACAGTTTTGTATTTTTAAGTCAAATATACCAGCTGGCATTTCATTCCATCAGTCTTTAGGGGGGATTTATATAGAGAATTCCTTTAATGCTGGTGCTCTTTGATCTGTGGAATTAATATTTTCAGTTCCTCTCTGAGTTGAAAGGGCACCTAAGAAAAGTGAAGACTTAGTTGCAATAGGAACTGCGGTTACGCGGAAACCAGTTAGAGGCAGCAAAGGTCACAGAATAAAGTTATTACTACACTGGGATTCCAGGTTAGGTCAGCCAAGAATTACCCTTAACTTATTAACTTGTCATTTACCAAAAACTTTTACTGCTTAATTTTTTTATAT